CTATAAGTATATGAAATTCTTCAAAATTCCAAATTGTAGATAACGAATTATGTTCTCTTTCATAAAGAATGTTTGTAATCAACTCTATGGCCTGTAAAAAAGATAAAAAAGTAGGTTGGTTAGAGATTTCTGCCTCAATATGAGAATGTGAATCTAACACATACTTCTGAAATTCAGAAGATGTGTTAACAACTATTGCATTATAACAAGTAAGACAAATAACATCATTTTCTTTAACATAATCAGGTAGAGTCTTGCTCTTTGTTCCCTTAGACAGAACTAGTCCAGTAACAGTTCGCAAAGTGCTAGTTTTCCCCTTACAGATCTTGATAACGCATGGTCCCTGGAGTTTCTTTTCTATACCCATTCTAAAAGTCGCTACTAAGCTAACACTACTTAAATTAGAGATTATTAGAGATTATTTTTAAAGGTAATCTTTTGACACTCTAAAGAAGCGATATATGCAAAAATTTTTGCTGTGTTAGTTTGTAACACTTGAGTTCTTGAAAAGTACTCTAAAGCATATAAATAAGTTACCCGGGCAATTGATCTACATTAGCCAATCAGACGAATTTCTGTCTATGAGCCCAAATCACCAATGTCACCCCTCTGGCGAGTTGCCTTATATCATATAAAATCTATATTTTATAGCGTAGGTTATCGATCGTACGATTTGATTCTTAATTAATGAGTTTCTTTATAGTTGTTAGGCTAAACTATATTAGAACTATGTTAACAACCATATTAGTATATAAACACAATTTTATTAAAACTATAAGTGTATTGTGGTTATTAGATGCAGAGTTTGATATAAGTTTATATTTTGTTAAATTTTTATCTGACCTAAGTCAAGATAGAGATTTAGAAATATTATACATGTACCGAATTGAATATGATTAAAATTTTTTCTTAAAACTAAACATTCTCCGCATTTAGATTATATTAAATTATGTATGAAAAAGGATTATATGCATAATCGTTGTCACTAAGCAATATATAATGTAGTCGTAAATGTAAATGGCAAAAGCAAATAGGAGCCGCTCAAATTAAAATAACCTATTTTATTTGATATCTGAATGCTCACATCTTACCTTTTACCTAAGGTACTTGTTCATAATAATGACAACTATTTCGCTTTCTATAGTAAACTCCAATAAGGATAGAAAATGGCTTGATTTTTCTCTATACCAGACAAATTAAATTATTAACATATCATAACAGGCTTAAATTTGATAGAATTGTTCATGTAACAGAAAAGAGTGTGCTTAAAATACACTCACTAATGCGTTTATATTCGTGATCTGACGTTAGTGATATCTTATATCCGGTACCTACTGAAGATATACCAAAATTTAAGTATCTTTTAATTATTTAATTAATTTTAACATATCTTATTATCTGTTATATTAAATAAAACAATGCATACTATATAATTAATAGCAAAACGTTTTGTAGCTGACAAATAGAGCGTATGCATATTAGGTATAGTGATCGTTCTAAATAATTATTACATCTTAAATTAGTAGTATATAAAAAAGTATAGTATGAAAAATAAAAATAGCAGCGCAGTAAAATTTTATTTTTTATACTAATACGTATATTTAGAATTTGGAATTAGAATCTTCGGATTTTAAATCTGATTTCATTTGAAATTCGGATATGAAACCGAATTGACCGAATCTGCAATATCAATCTGTAACAAAAAACGCATAGAGAACAAAAATATTAGATCAACCCTGTAATTATAAAATAGGTTTGTTCTTAGGTGGTCGAATGTTTTTGTCAGATACGTACATACAATGATGCTATTTAATATCATTATTGTTGAATTTGAATAAATCCGGATTTCGATTTAACATTTCGAATTTAAATTCGAAGCTAGAGAACGAAATAAATCCGGATTTAAAAAATAAATCGATTCCAAACTCTACGTATATTTAATGATCAGACTTATTATATATGAGTATAATGCTTGTAAGTATGTTAGCTATTAATGATGTTGGGACTATTAAATATATCAGGTATTTCGGCATTAATATTATTATAGCATATAATATTTTTTAATATTTTTTTTCAATTTAATGTTACCGAAATATTCAAAGTTTTTATAATGTAAAGTACGTAAGATACTTTCGCATTTTTTAAATAATTAAAGGTAACCAACGTAAAAATTGCATTTTTTTTCCTAATTAAAGAATAATTTAGTTCGACTTTAATGTAAATATCAAACTTCTTATAGTTCACGTTCGTTAAAAAACTTTAGTTGATTTTTATACTTTACGTTTATATAAAGTAAATAAATTTCATTAAAGTTTTCATACCGTCTTTATATTCAAAAATAAAACCTTCAAGCTCATTAAAATTGATTAAATTTGTCTGTTCAAAAATTTTAAGAGATAATTCGTTTTCGAAGGGGTAAAAAAAAATGACGAATCTTATAATAAACAAAGTCGAATTTAATATAAATTTTCCATAGTAGGGGGTTTCAGAATTAACTTTTTTTCAAAATAAATGGGAGCTTAAAAGAACCTATTTTCTTTTTTAGAATTCCGAATCAAAAAATTAAATAAGTACTTTAAAAAAATAGAAATTGTACGTCGCTTATTTTGAAATAGATACGCCACTTATTTTATCTTAAATCGGACGCCGAATCATTAATTCTGAAAACACCCAGTACAGGAATCTGGCTGTATTACATATAAAATATTTTCCTTACTAAATAATTCTTTTAAATTTCTAATTAAAAGTTGTAAAGCGATTCTAATGGTAGTAAAATCGTTAAAATCAGGTCGCTAGATCACGAGATAGAAATATATTTGATTTTTTACTATATAGTTTTTCTTAATGCCAAGATTCCACCTCTATATAAAACTAATAGCAATACTGCGCCGTATTAGACTATAAAATTTTAGTTCTTCAACTGCGGACTATCCCTTAAATAATTTTCGAACTTGTACATTATATTTAGAATTTGTTATAGGATTGATTCTATAAAAAAAGTTATGGAATAAATTGAGTCTATTAAATAATTTTTTAAAAATTCTTTTCATTAAATAAAATCCATAAATCTGCTATTTATTTATTTTTTTTTAATAAAAAAAAAAGGGTCATTAAATAATCTAAATATATTCTTTAAAAAATTTGGATATAATATAAAAGAATAAGTGGATCGCCAATTGTTGAACATGTACATAGATTTAAAAATGACACTTTTATTCCACATAATCAAATTAACTTTTTCTTATCAATTGTGTAAAATAGAACTAATCTATTTATCTAACCTGATCCCAATCAAATTAATTATCACATATTAGTAATATGCGATAATCGCATATTACATGGGCAAGTTATCTTATATGATCGAAAAATAAACAAAAATTTTATTAATTATCATAAAATATCATATATCTATATAAAATTGGGGTGGTGCGCATTTCGCCGACAATCACTTTACCGACAGCTTAGTTCACCAACAATTAATTAACCGACAAGTTCATTTCACTGACAATTATTTCACCGACAACATTTCGCTGACAAAATAATTCTGGTCATTGTTGTTAGTGTCAGGTTAGAATTAGAGCTAAGGTTAGTGTAATTTATAAAAAATACTTGTCAGTGAAATGAGCTGTCAGTGAAATAATTGTCGGTGAAATGAACTTGTCTGTGAATTGATTGTCGGTGAACTAAGTTGTCTGTGAAGTGATTGTCGGTGAAATAACACGTATCCGTTATTTCTTTTAGTCGTATAACAGTATTTGTGACTATTGATACGGTTACTACTATTGCTATTGCTATAATCGTAAGTTGGATTGTTTGATTAAGTTGCTGAAATGGTTGTTCAGATGTTGCTAATGTAATATAAATATTGCTCATCCAAGTTATTGTTATATTAAATACTGATATTGTTTGATCAGTGGTTACAATCTTAATGATTTCTTTCTTATACGTGTCCACGATTGCTTGTTTCTTTATTTTTCTTGTTCAGTTCTCTTTTGGATTGTGGTAGGTATACACAGTCAATGTGTTTCCTTGAACAGCGCAGACAGGTGGTTTCTTGATATTTTAAACAGCGTACTTTCTTTAATTGACAATTTGTACAGGCTATAGTTGCTTTTTTAATATTTTTCATTCGTATATTATAGGTTATTAGGTATGGAATTGTTTGTTTTTGTTTCTTGGGAATTTTGTCCATGTTTATATAACTTTTTTTTCCTATATATTTTATATTGTATTATTCTAAACTATTTAATCTGATCCTTCAAAATTTCTTCGTGAGAATTCTTGAAATCTATGAAGATCTTCGTCATGAGGTGGTAGAGTGTCTAACTCTGTTTCAGTTAGTGCATATTGATTCAGTGTTTGGGCCTTTTTTAGGGCTTCTACAAATTTAGGGTGGTCAAATTGAAGGTTATGAAATGCTTGGTGTCGTGAAGTGGTTGCTTGTCTTTTCCGTAAGTCATGGTGATTGTAGTTTAATATTTGTTCTACTAGTTGGTTTTCTTCAAGTGCTTCTACTTTTCTTTTCAAGTTTCAGACTTGTTGTTTCAATTCCCTATTTTCTTCTTTTAATGCGGCTATATCTAGTAAGTTTCTTCCACTTAGGGGGAAGAATAGTCTACGCATAAGTGTTTCCAATTGATGTAATCGTTCTTCAACACTTTCATTTTGGTTTTGTGATCCTTGATCATTTAAAGTGTCGTTATCTGTCATTTCTGCATCTTCATCGAATAATGATTCTTTTTCTTTCGATATATCACTTGTTTCTGATTCATTATCGTATGAGAGGTTTATTATATTAATCAAATCTTTTATTTCTTTTTCGTTTCTTTGTTGTAGTTGTATTGCTATATCCCGATTTGATGGTTCATAATAATAAGGATAAAATTCTGGTTTTTCAGAATCTAAATGATCTTGGTTCGTCTGAAGAGTTTCGGTTATTACAATAGGGTTCTTTTGGGTTCCGATTAGTGGTATTTTATCTTCCGTAGAATCTTTTCTTTTTAGTAGTTTCCTTGAAGTTTCTTTGCATTCTTCACATTGTTCCATAATAGATACATTTGGTAATTGTTCTATTTCTTCTTCAATTATTTCATATATCATCCACCAACCATTTTGGTTTTTTCTTCGTATTTCATTTTCTTTGGTAATATGTACTTTTCCAAGTTTTTCATTTTGCTTGGTCACTTTGCAAATTTGGCCTTTTTGCACTGTGCAATTATAGCACCAAATATAACGTTTTTCCACTACATCCGTTTCCTGGTTATATTCCCATTTCCATAACTTATAGTCTACGTCGTTTTGCCATTTTTCTAATTTTACTTTGGCTTCTTCTTTTTGTATGTCTGTTAATCTATCTTGCATTTCTTTAAAGCATTCTGGACATGTTCCTCCTAATAAATCTTTAGGTGAATAAGTATAATAACATTCCGAACATAATTGGGTTAATCCTCGTTTTTCTGTTATCATCATAGCATTAGTTCTAGTTGTGTCTATAGGATAATCCTTTTTGCTTTGCCCTTCTTGAAATGAAGCTTCAAGAGCTTGATTTAAAGATGTTTCAATTACTTCGTATGTACTTTCATCTTCTGAGTAAAGAGTTTCTTCTGTATAGTATTCTTCTATAGCATCGTAGTTTTGGTAATTGTATTTATCGGTGATGGAATTAATTTTCATTTGTTTTATTATTTCTTGGTTTTCGGAGGTAGTTCATTCTTCTTGAAGGTGGTTCTTGAAAAATTCGTAGAGTCTTAGTATTTTCGATTCATTCATTGCTTCATTATTATATATAGTTCTAGTATATTCTTGAATTCTTTTTATTACTACCGCTTTTGTAGAGTATCTGTGACAATAAAACATTTCGAATGCTACTTTTTCTTCTTTATTACAAAAGTAATTGTTAGTATAATCGTTTGTCATATGTCTCTTCCAATTTTCTTTTGAGCAGATAGTACATTTCTTAAAGTTGGTTTTTTCTAACTTTGTTTCTTTATATTGTACCGCTCGTATGTCATCTATCGACAGGTGTTCCATATATTCTTGGTAACATCTTTTGCAGACAATATGATCTTTAAGTTGTTGCATATGGTAGTCCAATGGATTAATATATGTTCCTTCTGGTAACAAAAATATATCTTTGGTAATAATATTATAACAATTCTCATTGCAACAGTGATAGATATTTTTCCCAATCTTTCTAACTTTTTCCTTGCTACATCCGCATTGTAAAGTTTCATTTTCTGTAAAAAGTTTGGTTATTAGTTTATCTGGATCGATAAATTTTCCTTGTTCATTATACACTATTTCTTCTATTTCTTCTAAAGTTTCATTTGGAGTTTCTGATCGTTTTTCTGGTTGGATATCCTTTGAGCTTCCTTCTTTTGGATCATAGGTTTCTTTAATTCCAATTTGTTTCTTTTGGAATTTTTTATTTTCTTCATTTATAGTTCTCAAGTTTCTATTAACTAGAATCATTTCGTTAGTACAGTCTCGTGCTTGATATCCTAGTTGTTTACATTTCCAACATTCATTTTGAGGACGTTTTCTATTGACGTGACCTTGTTGGTTACAAATTCCACAAATGAAACGAGATCTATTCTTTTCATATTCTCTTTCATCAAAAAAGTTTCCTTTAAGGATTGGTTTTGGTATCCTTAATTGACTTAATGGAAATCTTTTTTGGCAATTATGATTCCCGTTAGTTAGAGCTCCGCATTTTTGACATTTATTTCATTTTTCAAAATGAACTTTCTTTCTTGGTTCTTGGAATTTAGGGCATTCATGGTTCTTTTTGACTAAAATTTTACATTCAAGGCAGAATAATTGAGGGTCTTGTTCCTGTTCTTGGTCATTGGTTCCTTTAACGACTGATGCAAAAGTTTTCTTTCCTTTTTCTTTATTGTTTCTTTGAGGTTGTTGTTCAATGTTAGGAATTTTCTTAATAACAAATTTTTGATTTTCTTGCCTTTGCCATTCATTGATCTTTTGGTTTTTCTTTAATTTCCATTCTTCGAATTCAATCAATTCGGTTTGGTCAGGATGTCTTTCTTTCAAATGTTCCAGCCATTTGTTTTGGGGTCCAGTTAGTTGGCAAATTTCACAAGTCTTAGGTTCCATTTCAGTATTTTTGGGGTTTCTTGTTGAAGTTTGTTTTCAGGGTTTCTTAAGATTTATCCGTTATGTTTTGGATGTCCTTTGATCGTTTGAATGGAGTTTCTTTTATAGAAGTTTCTTATCTTGGATTATCATTGATCAACAATAAATTTTTATTCTGCATCATCACTGTTACTCGTATGACCTAGTGATTGTAGATTATTTATATAATCTGTATCACGCAGACATTCTAGGAGTGTGTCCCAGATGTTTTTGTCTTTATTCTGTCTTCTCCAAATTAACTCATTTAGGCATGGTTGTAGATTTTTCTTATCTC